TAAATAAAACAAATAAGTGAAATCTGAATTGAATTTTTTATATCATTCTTTATTTATATTTTAATTTACACTTATGCAATATGCTTTAATTATGTATATTAAAGTCATTTATCCAAAGTCCAATCTAAGTAAGAATGATTTAATTCTAGTCTATACATTTTAAGATAACGAATCTATCTTTAACACTTAACTTATCTACAATTTACAATCTATAAAATCTACAATCTACACAATCTACAACTACGATCTATAAATCCGTTACCTCAAAAAATTAAATAAAAATTAACTTATCACTTACTGACACCGATGCACAACAGCGGGAGACTTAAGTAATTGATGTTAAATCTACACGTGTTATCTGTAACATATAAAATCTAAATTAAAGCAACGTTCAAATTAATTATTATTTCAAATATGTAATAAAATAACTTTATAAGTTAAAAAAAGTTTTATGTTAAAACTTTTATAGAATTTATATAAATATAAATACAGAGTGTCTAATAACTCGCGCCCCACCCGTAAGGTGCAGATAGAGCAAGTCAAACTGAGTAAAAAATCCTTTACCGTTTTGCGATTTTCTCAATAATAAAGAAGAAATTAATTAATAAAGTTTGGCCAATCCACGCGAGTGGTAGCGAAGAGAAGAAACAGCCAACACGAAGGTCCAGCTTTATGCATGCTATTATCTTTTGTCGATTATTATCTTTTGCGTTTGTGTAAGGCACGTGAATTGGCCAATTTTTATAAATTAATTTCTCATTAATTATAATTAATTATTGAGAATTTTGCAAAATGGTAGAGGACTTTTCTACTTAGTTTGATCTGTTCTACCTGTATCTGACGGGTGAAACGCGAGTTACCGAACATATCCTGTATATCTCTTAAAATGTATCTTAATACATCTCTAAGTTTCTCTTGTTTAAACTGTTCAAGTAAATGAACTAAATTAATGCGATTATAATAATTAATACAAATAACAATATTCACCTTAGGATTGCTTCGGCGATGCCAGATGCCTCTCCTAGGCCTCCTCCTCCTCTCATGTTGTCAGCGTCGTCAAAGTCCGTTGACATTACACGCGCGAGATTTTCAACGACACTTCCGCACCTGTACGCACGATACTTTTAACGGTACTCCCGAATTTTGCTCGTTGTCTGTAACATACAAATATAAAATCTAAATTATAATAGTTTCCAAATTAATTACTATTTTATAGAAACTTTTATAAGATTTATATATTTATATATCTCTTAAAAATTATATATCTCTAAATTTCTCTTGTTTAAATTGTTCAAAGTAAACTGAATTAAGATGATTTATAATTAGGGTTACCTTAGGGTTAAGGTATCCGATGCTTCTCCTAGACCTCCTTCTACTCTCATCTATCCTCTTATGTCGAGACATAATAAAATTCGATGAATGAAAATTATGTCGGGACATAATAAAAATTCGACGAATTAAAATTATGTCGAGATAAATAATTCAAAAATTTTTATTATGTCGAGACATAGTTAAAAAAAATTCGATGAATTACAAGTATCTCGAGACATAATAAAAGTACGATGAATTAAAATTATGCTGAGACATAATAAAAATTCGATGAATTAAAATTATATAAGTTAAGACATAATAAAAATTCGACGTATTAAAATTATGTTAAGACATAATAATAATTCAAAATTTTTTTTTATTATGTTGAGACATAATAAAATTCGATGAATTAAAATTATGTCGCGACATAAAAAAAATTCTTGAATTATTATTATGTCTCGATATAATTTTAATTTATCGAATTTTAATTATGTCTCGACATAATTTTAATTCATCGAATTTTTATTATGTCGCGACATAATTTAATTTGTCGAATTTTTAATATGTCTCGACATAATTTTAATTCATCGAATTTTTATTAGGTATGTCTTAACATAATTTTAATTCATTGAATTTTTATTATGTCTCAACATAATAAAAATTCTTTGTTCTAGACTTTATATTAGTGATATCTAAACTTCGGATTATATGCAAATAGCATATTTGTTACTTTTTGCACGTTCTACGACAACATTTATAATGTAAAAAAATTATAATAGTTTCAACTAATTAATGTTTATTAATTTAAAAAATTATAATTTATTCACATTATTAATGTTCTAGAATATGCAAAATAACAAATATGCAATTTGCATATAATACGAAATCTAGTGATATCCAACTTATTTTCTAAATTCACGAAGTTATCATTTTCCTTATTACTCTTGAAAGAAAGATCGATTTGACATGGTGACTAAATTCCAAATTGTACTTTCTATTTCTTTTTACAAGTTTCGTTAAATTAGTATCAAGCGTTTTATAAACTTTTTTGGGAATATAACTGTCTTCAGTATTAATATTATTGCTAATCGTACATAGCGATTTTGTGTTTGTATTATTCATTATTTCTATATTATATTATTTAAATTTTCAATCATCTCCTTCAAAATATTGTTGTCAGTATTACTGTTATCGATTTCCTTTGTTGTTATATTTAACATACATAGATAATACATCTGTAATATTAGTAAATATTGATTTCAAATTCGGTATTATATCTTATAATAGAAATATATGTACATAATCTAAATTAACTGAATTTTTATATATACATAATTTTAATTTACCGAATTTCTATTTTCCTTTCTAACTGAGAAACTGTAGTCAAAACCACTCAATCATAAAATTAATAAACACTTATTTATCAGATTTTAACTATTATATACACCAAATTCTTTAATATACATTACTATCACTACACTAATCCCTCGATACATACAACTGTCAAATTATGCAATGACAGCCGCTCACGAAGAAAACGCTGTGACGGAATCAATCGGCATCACGGATTAAAGGCAACATTCTTCGATACATTCGAGTATAAATAACATGCCTTTTTTAGAAAGGGATATATTTATATTAATTTCTTAATTTATATAAAATAAACAACCAAATAAACATAAATATATAAAATAACAGGGAACTAACAAAATTTAGTTTTTATATAGGATAATGTACCTTTTCCTTTGGTAATTAAATTTATGAAAAAAATGAAAATTAATAGTACCTTTAGTTTTTTTAAATAAATCTTGTAAAAATGATATACATTATAAAATAATTATCTTTTATTAAAATTTAGTCGTTATTAAAAATTTAATTGTCCAATGTTTAATTTTATAGAAAAAAATAATGGCATTTAGAAATGAAAAAGATTTTTAACTTAGGAAAAAAGTTTATAAATTTAAGTTTAAAAATAAATAATAGTTTTAAGATATATAAATTAACTCATTTTAAATTAATCAAGATAAGTTTAAAGGTATTATAATTTTTTATTTAACTTTTAACAAATTAACTATAATTATAATACTACCCAACTTTGATGCCATTAATTTCAGCAAAATTGAAATATTTTGTATCTATTGAAATATTTTATATATAAGCATATCAAGCGTACAGTTCAATATATTATAGAAAAAATAACTTTTTTTAAATATATATGTAGAATCTAATTATTCGCGTAAACTGTTGGACGTAACAATCGAGTATATCAGCGTAAAGAAAAATAAATTATAAAATGGAGCTTCATATATGACATACAGGGTCATTTCAAGGGCTTGCACTTAGGCGCAGAATGCTCCGTCGTTGTCCTTTTTTATTGACAGAATTAGAAAAGACAGAATTAGTTTTTCAAATATAAGATGATGTGAGTAAATATCTCAATTGTTTTTTTAATTATTAGAAGGCGAATATTAAACGTTAATATTACGGTTTAGAATTATGGAATAAAAAAAATTTTGAATACATTAATAAACATAACATTAATTGAACTTAAATTGAGACAAATATAAATAAATATATATTTCGCGAAAAGAGAATTATTAATTATTGTAAATTAATCAAACATTATTTTAATTTCCCCTACAATTCAAAATTTTTTCAATTTTGTTCTTTTTTATTTCAATTTATTCTAAACAAGACGTCGACAGCCGCCTGGGTGCGCTGCGCTTAATTATTACGCCACGGTTTGAAACGGTCTTAATGGCATGGTAAGATACGATCAATATAGTCTCCAGAGTCAGTATTATTATGATCGTCACAACATTATGGGTTATTTAATTCAAACCGTGTGATATAAATATTATATAGCAAAATGCACGAATAGTGGATCCTAAAAAACTTATACAATATATATGTATACAATGCACGCATAAAAGAAAATAGTCGTAATTTTTTTTATTTTTAGTGAAACAAAAAATATTACATATATATACGTGAATAATGTTGTATTTTACGGTTGAACAGTGGGGAAATAGAAAATCCATAATTCTATAATTTTCGGTTTGTAAATTGTTCTCTCGACTATCTTTTTTATTGATTATTTTTTTTACTGTTTTGGAATATTAAGAAAAATTACAAAAGAAAAAGATATATTATTGTTTTCGATACAATCAAATGAATATATACATCACTTCATATGTTGTTATTGGTTCCCGTCGAAAAATTATAAAAACTTATTACTTACTTATTTACTTACTAAAGTTCTCTCATTTAATCTAATAAGATGTACATATATTGTATATGTAGAAATCGAATTTTTATTGTTATAATATTTATATATTTGACCGATGTTATGCGTGTTCTCGAGTCGGGTTATTTGTCGAAATTTCGTTATATCTCATGTTTATTGAGCGTGTTGTTTTGTATCGACACAATACTGTATTGTGAGCGAAAAGAAAAAGGGAATAGTTGTCACGACCTTTTCGAATAATCGACACGTATGCTAACCGAAAGCGAGGATACGAAAAATCGACGAGACAGAAGACTGAGTCGCGCGAAAGACAAATACGTGTTTCTCACCGTGTTAAATCCAACAAAAATCTATTTGCCAGTCATACGAAATTAGAGACTGTATACGCGCCTTTATATCTTTAGAAATATATTATTAAATACAAGTGCTAGAGACCAGCTAATAATAATTTATTATTTGAAATAAATAATTTCCGAAATCCGCCATCCTACATATATATTGTGAGATTAATCATAAAAATCTTAAAATGTAATATGGGAAGACAGTACTGCAATTTGCAAACTAGATTCTAAAGAATTCATTGAGCATATTATAAGAAAGTATCGAGTGGATTAGCAAATCTGAATCATACAATAAAGTAAAAAGAATACTGCTTACTAAATATTGAGCGCAAACGTTCATCGAAGAAGATTATTATGTTTGGGATGAGATTATATATTTTATTGAAAAGTTTAATGCTGACGAAGACAGCTATCGCAATTTTGACGAAAAATCATGCCGTTTCGGATAATCTTCAGGAAGAATGCCATTCGGACATGTGCCCGAATTTAAATTTCACGCAGGTATGAGATTTCCTTTGTTTATTAAAAATAACAATTGAATATTATATTACAAGATTTTATAAGTAATAGTGTGGTGTTTATTTAAGTAAACTAAAATGTGTTATAAAATAATATATTACACATTGTATAATAAAATAAAATTACAAAACTAAAGAGTATATGCGATGTTATAAAAAGATATGTAAATATTGGAAATTTTATTATATTTATAATATAAATGTATATAGTACAAAAGTTAAACTTAATTTAGATGATTAAAACTTGCTTGTATTACATATTTTTGTGTTTCTGTAATTGTTATTCTTTAAGAATAATAATTACTAATATTAATGAGATTTTCTGTTAATTTTCCGCTACATTAATACACATATATTACATTTGAACTGAGTTTGAACTGAGTAATTTTTCATCAATTCCTAAAAACTTTTTTATTTTTCTAGATATTTATAATTATTTATATAATTAAAATTTGTAAATTAATTTATATTTAACAAAATTAATTCAAAAAATCAGAATTATTTTTGTATCAAGAATAGCTGCATTTGTAGGTAATGGAATGTCGATTAACTGGTACAATAAATTCAAATTATATCAATAAACGTAACAACAATCATCAGCTATCTGCTCGAATTTATATACATATATATATAACTAGAATTTCGGCCCGCACACAGCGCGGGCCTCAAAGCCTGTATATAACTTTTTTTATTTACTTATAATTTCCTCTGTTCGATCGCGAACTACTACATTTGTGGATCAATTTTCGAGAAACAAGTACTAAAATATTTCTAATGTTATTGAGATGAATGTTTATATGGTTTTGTTTTTTGCTTCTTTTTTATTTCATTTTTAATTTAATTCCAGACAGAATTTGGTGCTTATTGATTTTTTTAAGAAAAAAAACGTAACAAAAAAAAAAGCCACGTAAGATCAATTCCCGGAAAATTAGGAAAATGTTGGTACAGATTTCTTAAAAATCGACCTATAAATGTAGGAGTAGTTTACACACACACACAAAAGATAATATTTTCATTTTTGAAATACAAACGTTATTGAAATTTTAACCATAATGGACGGATTCTTAAAAAATAAACTCGCTTACTTAAAAAAGTTAACTACTCTAAAGAAAAAAACAAATTATTAGCTGTAATCTGTAATCATTAGCAAAATTACTTCAATAATCAAAGAGAGTAACATTTTCAAATATATCATTTGTCAAAAGATAACGATTATGAATTTTCAAATAATCCGTATTAGCTTATTTTGCTTGCCTGTCATTTTGATATAAGAATTATGTTTGTCATTTCACAAGAAAATGTGTTGAAAAATAATAAGAATAAATTTTTTTAGAAATAGAATCATACAATATTTTAATACATTATATTTTAAGAATAAAAGGTTTAAAAATAAGTATTAAGCAGATATTGCAAAAATGAAAAATGTTATGCTCATTTTACTTATTTCGATATATATATTATTTCTTTTTAGTAACCCCAGCCAAAAATGATATCAAATCGACGTCAATTCGACGACGATTCATTGTTGAATCAACGGCGATTGGATATCGATTCGACGTCGATTTGATCATTTATTTCTGGCTGGGAATCTTACTTATATATATTTCTACATATAATATGTTATTTATCATTAAAAATACCGTGTGGAATTATACTTAGCTGCTTCATTTTATTATATGCTATGTATTTTATTATGGATATGCTCGAAAACCACAATCATCACATTTTACAAAATTTTCAGCCTGATCACAATCATTTTGATAGCGTGACTATAAAAAATGAAATCGATAAAGTTACATTTGCAAATATGTCTATAAATCCAGGATCTATTGGTAAGATGCAATAAATACATAGAACGATAAAAAAAGTTTTTTCGATATATAATTTAAATTCAAGAAAGAGTAAAAATTTTTTAAAATATCAAATAGTTTTTAATAACAAAGACAATATATAATTTATTCTGATGCTAAGAGCAAAAAAATTCATATATTGTATATAAAATAAAAGTAAAATTCAAGATCACGCCATTAATTTCATTATTTTATTCGTTTGTTAATTTTAAAGTAGTCGCAAATAATATATTTTTTGTGAATAAATAGAAAATTTTAGAAAACGTGTAGCGCTTTATTGAAAGCTTCTATTTCTTTTGATTCTGGATTAACAATTACTTTTCTAAATTTCGAAATACACACAAAAACATTTTTTATATTATTTTATTATTTTAAAAATCAATATTTGCTGTTAAATTTATAATATACGTTCATTTTTCCTTTTCCTTTATTTTCACTTTATCTTTGTAATTTATAAATCTAATTTATTGATCAACTTAATGTTTTTGTACATATTAATATGTACAAAATATATTGTCTTAAAATTTCTAGAAATCATTCCGAACAAGCTAAGAGCATTTGTAGAGTTCGACGAATTTCTAAATAAAAAAGACATTTCTGTGACATTCAGGTAATGAATTTAAATCTAAATTTTTATAATCTATATTCCTCCTTTTTCTTAAATTTAATAATATATATACATATAAAAATATTAATAGTGATAAATTTATTATATATAAAAAGACTAAAATTTATCTTATAGATGGGGCCTACCTGAATTTACAAAAGAAGTGATACAAGCAAAAATTTGGGTAAGTTAATTTTTTCTTAATTAAGTTAAGTTATAGTTATATAACTGTCTTGAAAATTTAACTTAGTTAAGATGCAAGTCAATTCATAATAAAATTAATTGAATTAAAAGTTATATTAAGTTAATAATAAAAAATAATTAAAAAATTAAAAATTAAAATTGTTTTAAAATTGAATCGAAATCTTTTCATTCGACGTAGACGAATCAGATTCGTCCACAATGTAAACACTCATTGCGTCTTTACACAAAATTTCAGAGACTCGCGATCACGTAAATTGCAAATTCAGGAGCTCAAAAATTGAATTTATTCACAAGAGGAATGTATGCGTAAATTCAGTTTTTACAGAAAAGTTGCAAGTTTATTGGCTATTGCATGGCTTTTAGCCAATCAACTTGCAACTTTTCTGTAAGAACTGAATTTATGCATACGTTTCTCTTGCGAATGAATTCAAGAATTGAGACCCAGAACCAACGTTTGGTGTAATAAAGAGAGATCGAGAAATAATCGAATTCACATGAAATATCGCTCGTTTTGTATGAGGACAAAACTTCAAAAAGTTCAATCAAAAGTTAATAGTTACTGATAAAATATAACTGAATTAAGTTAAAAGTTAAGAGTCTAAAATGTAACTATAAGTTAAGTTAAAATTATTTAACTTTTTAACTTAACTTTTATCTTTTTAACTTTAACTAGACAAGACCTGGATAAAAGGATACACAGTGCAGTGTTGGTTTATCGAGAATCAAAAAAGATTGAAATCTGCGATGATAGAAGGATCTTAACTGCAATGGAGTGCATAAAGCATAATCTAAAACCCAACACGACGTACTATTTCCGTGTGCGAATGCATACTAAAACTGGTGTTGGTCCTTATACGAATTTAATGAATGTATCATCGACACATGAAAATCCGATACCTAAATTACTGATTCGATCGGAAAAAAGTGTCCAAATATTTGATTTAGATTCAAAAACCTACGTCGATCTCTTTAACTATTTTATGAACATACCAGAAATCATTCATTCGATAGTGAGACATAACATTTATTGGATCGATTACGAGAACGATTATACCTTAAAAAAGCTAATGACATGGAATATAAATAACAACATTAGCACAAAAATAATTAACATCAAAAATATTCCATACAATCTGTGCATCGACTGGATAGGAAGAAATCTATACTGGATAGAATATGAACCAAAAAACAACATTATAATGAAGCTGGACTTAACAATGCGGGAAAATGGCATATTCAAATATGACAAGATTTTGAGCAGAAAAAATTATATTTATTTAACAGTATTACCATCCATAGGGTATGCTAATTTTCATTCGCTTGAAAAAGTAAACACTTTCGTCTCTTTCAGTTAAGAATTACTATTATTTTCTAATTTTGCAGTTATTAACTATGATATTGTAATAAAGATCATAATAGAAAATCATAAAATCATTAATCATTATAAGTTTGTAAAAATTTAAAACATTTATATCTTATCTTCATTTATGTGTCTGATTAAACTAATATTTTACAGCAATCATATATAGAATAATTCATATATTTTTCAGATTGTTATATTGGATAGAAGAAGGTTTACATAACCAGTATATAATAATGAAATCGGATCTTAACGGAAAAAACGTGGAATCTGTTCTAAAAAGCAATATGACCTTCTGTCGATATAAAATACCAATCTTTCATATTAAATTTGAAACAATATTTGACACCGCAAAAAAAGAAGTGCCGCTAATATATTGGATAGAAACAAATAAATTAATTGTAGTGGACCTTAAGTTAAACAAATGCAACATAATTTTAATCGCTGAAAACGCACAGCTTCATTCACTCTTAACAACTGACAAAGAAAACATTTACGCATTTGAAAGCAAACTAACAGATACTGACATTTATATTTTAAAAAGAAATACGCACTTATTGACAGTGAAAAAAACGCATTAAGACACGTGCAAATAGTAAAAAGCAAGAATTACTTATATTATATGACATCTTACAGTAAATCATTACAACCATACCCTCGGACGGAGTGTCTTACGCCTGACAAAAATTCTACTTTTACAATAGTAAGAATAACAGCGAACAGTCTCGTCTTGAACTTACCAGAACCGATTCCTAAGAGTGGATGCAAAAACAACCTACCATCTAATAAATATACCATCCTTATAAGCTATTGTTTGGACAATTGTCTTAACAAGTTCGACAAATTTAATATCCACACATATGAGCGGCGTTATGAAATTCAGAATTTAACACCGTTTACAAAATACAATCTAAAACTAGCCCTAAGCAATTTTTATTCTGATCAATTATCAATGGATCTGCAATTTGATTCGGAACAAATAGTGAGAACTAACGTGGGCAAGCTAAATGCACCGGAAAATGTAACGGTTCAGGTTCTGACACCTACTATAGCGGCAGTTTCTTGGACGCCACCAACGAAATTGAATTGTGTAATAGTGACTTATAAAGTATATTGGGAATCTATTAGCTCGATGAACAGCACGCAACCGATAAAAGAACCATTTATTAATAAACGTAAGGCAGACAACAAATTTTTCACAATAATTAAGCAGTTGCTGCCAGAACAGAAATACTTGGTATATGTGCGTGTGTATCCAGCCAATTACAGCAATCTTTATAATGACAGTTTAAAAATTGTGCACATGCACTCGGAACCGAACATAACTTTGAGCGGAGTTAGCATTAACAGTATGAATATTTCGTGGATTCCTACCGTCGATCAGACGATCCATTACATATTAGAATACAAAAATGATGTGATGCAAAAGTGGGAAATTGCAGACAACTTTGAAACGAATAATGAAACAGTAATGTACTATATAGAAAACTTGCTACCGGCAACTTTATATGAGTTTCGTTTGACATATCCCGAGTATGAGAACTTAACATGGCCATCTGATGAAAAATTTTTTACTTTTCAAACACTTGGTAAACAAATTTGATATATAATATTTTAGTATAATCTATCTGTTTTATAAGTATAAAAATGTTTATGTTTATAAAATTTTAGAATTAAATATTTTCAATAATAAATATAAGTTATAAGTAGAAGTAGAAGTAAATTTTTAGGTAAAAAAAAAATTAAAAACTATATATTTATGAAAAAGATGACGGTTCCAGTACTCTAGCTCTTATATATTATTTATTATTAGCGATAAACCTTGTCGCTATTGTTACTGTAATCTGCATTCACTACTTTTATTGTTGTAAGTACATATATGTATTTGATACATATTTATTCTTTAATTACAGATTATGATAAATATATACAAATATAAATACAAAGATTTTCTAAAAAAAATTTAATATACTTATTAAAAAAGTTACTTAAAATATGCAATGAATTTTATTAAATAAATATATTGTAATTTTATAATAGTGTCTCGGCGCAGAAAAAGTAACAATCAAGTTTTGACTACGATAATGCCCGACGCAGAATTAACGATTTTACATGAGGTACCTATCGAAAACGTTTATCTCAATACGTTATATAGTTCTACGTTACAACATAATCCCAATAAATATATGTTGACCAAAATAAAACGTGAGCAAATCACGCTAACAAAACTTCTTGGTAGAGGTGCATTCGGAATGGTAAGAACTAATTTTCTTAACGTCATATTTTAAACCATAAATGTTTATATATATAAATGAGAAATACCTACACTCCTACACATTTCTTAAGAAATATCACATATAAATCAACTTTTTATGAGATTAAGTTACACAAAGCTTTTATATAAAACAATATATCATATATGTATATGCGTTTTATTTTCTTTCGTTAAATTATTTAAAATTAAAGCAAGATTTAATGCTACACGAATTAAAATTTAATGTTGTTTTTAATTAAGATTATATTCATTTTTAATAATTCGCAGGTGTTTCAAGGGATTGTCAAAGATTTAGAAGAATCGGGCTCGGAGACATCTGTTGCCATAAAGATGATAGAAAAATGTGTTTCAAAAAAAGAGAAAAAGAAATTCTTGCAAGAGGCAAAGCTTATGAATCACGTTAGACACAAACATGTGCTAAGATTACTAGCCGTCTGCTTAGACGAGGATTTTCCATTACTTGTGTTGGAATTAATGGAAAGTGATCTGCAAAAATATTTGAGAGAGCATCGAATATTGCAACCTTCTGATTTACACGCTTTGCGTGTACAAGATTTGCTTGCTATGTGCGAAGATGTTGCGCGAGGCTGTTGCTATTTGGAAGAGCTGCGCTTTATACATAGAGATCTTGCGTGCCGAAATTGTTTAGTGTCTGCGAGAGATCGCGAAAATCGTATCGTTAAAATCGGCGATTTCGGACTTGCTAGAGATATTTATAGGGATGACTATTATCGCAAGGTAAACACAATTAATTAAAAACAAATAAATTTTTTCAAATTTAATTTCTATATGTATTGTATATATATTTTGGCGTTTTTATAAATATTATATATTATTAACAATAAGTCAAATAGAATTTAAGAAAAATAAAAACTACATATATATAGTTATTATATTTATATATATGATCATGGAAAATATTAGCAAACGTTTTCTACTTAAGAAAATTTATTTCAAAAATTTGAATAAAAGATTTAACTTCGCTAAAATTGTTTTAGGAAGGAGAAGGTCTGCTTCCTGTTCGCTGGATGGCACCGGAATCTATAGTAAATGGAATATTTACTTCTCACAGTGACGTTTGGTCATTCGGAGTGCTAATGTGGGAGATTACATCGTTAGGCGAGCAACCTTATTCCTCCAGAACTAATCTCGAAGTGATGGATTACATACGCACTGGAGGCAGATTGCAGATGCCTCTCAACTGTCCATCCTCGTTATACCAGTTGATGCAACGTTGCTGGAGCTTTGCAGCGAATGACAGACCAAACTTTAAACTTTGTCTGAACAATATTATAGATCTGAGAAGCGACATAGAGGATGCAGAATTGCATCCAATGAATCTAGCCGGCACAAGTAATTAATTATTCGTACATGTATATTTTAAGGAGAAACGAGTATTTGCATATCTTGGACATATTTGGAAATGTGTCTGTATTATACGTAAATTGATTGTCGTTAGTACTATTTTTTAAAAAAAGTAATAAACTATATATTTAGTAGAAGTTTTATGACTTGATCACACACATTCATGCATATATATTATATAAACACATCAATCGTACATATAATAGAATCTAATTATTCACGTAAACTGTTGGAAGTAACATCGAACACATCAGCGTAAAGAAAAATGTTTTAGGAATGGAGCTTTCATGGCATGCAGGTCCATTTCAAAGGCTTGTTGCGTCTGAGCGCGGAATGTTCCCCCTTACGTCGCCCTTTTCTAATTGACAGAACAGTTTTTCAAATATATCATAATGTGTATAAAGTGAAATTTCAATAGTTTTTTTAATTATTAGAAGGCGAACATTAAACGTTAATATTACGGTTTAGAATTACGGAATAAAATTTGAATACCTTAATAAACATTGCACCAATTGAACTTAAATTGAGACAAATGTATATAAATATATATTTCGCGAAAAGAAAATTATTAATTATTATAAATTAATCAAACTTTATTTTAATTTCTCCCTACAATTCAAAACTTTTTTCAATTGTGTTCCTTTTTATTTAGTACTTTTAAACAAGATATGTCGACGACCGCTTGGGTGCGCTGCGTCTATATTACAGCACAGATTGAAACGGGTCTAATGACATGGTAAGATACGATCAATAGTCTTCGGAGTCAGTTATTATTATGATCGCCACAACGTTACGCGTCATTTAATTGTTCAAATCGTGTGATATAAATATATTATATAGCAAAGTGCACGAATAGTGGATTCTAAAAAGCACATATAATATACAATATACGCATAAAAGAATAGTTGCAATTTTTTATATTTTTAGTGAAACAAAAATATTACATAATCGTGTGGATAATATTTTACGTTTGAATAGCAGGGAAATAAAAAATCTATAATTCTATAATGTTCAGTTTGTAAATTGTTTGATTATCTTTTTTATTGATTACTTTTTATATTGAAATATTAAGAAAAATTACAAAAGAAGAAGATATATTGTTGTTTTCGATACAATCAAGTGAATATGTATCACTTTATGTATTGCAGTTGGTTCCCATCGAAAAAATTATAAAAACTATTTACTTACTAGAAGTTCTCTCATTTGATCTAATAAGATATACATATATTGTGAATTGATCATAAAAAAAATCTTAAAATGTAATATTTGAAAAGACCGCAATTCGCAAACTGGATTCTAAAGAATTCATCGAGCATATTATAAAAAAGTATCGAGTGGATTAGCAAATCTGAATCATATAATAAAGTAAAAAAGAATACTGCTTACTAAATATTGAGCGCAAACGTTCATCGAAGAAGATTATTATGTTTGGGATGAGATTATATATTTTATTGAAAAGTTTAATGCTGACGAAGGCAGCTATCGCGATTTTGACGAAAAATCATGCCGTTTCGGATAATCTTCAGGAAGAATGCCATTCGGACATGTGCCCGAATTTAAATTTCACGCAGGTATGAGATTTCCTTTGTTTTATTAAATAATAACAATTGAATGTTATATTACAAGATTTTATAAGTAATAGTGTGGTGTTTATTTAAGTAAACTAAAATGTGTTATAAAATAATATATTACACATTGTATAATAAAATAAAATTATTACAAAACTAAAGAGTATATGCGATGTTATAAAACAGATGTATAAATCTTGGAAATTTTATTATATTTAAAATATAAATGTATACAGTACAAAAGTTAAACTTAATTTAGATAATTAAAACTTGTTTGTATTACATATTTTTGTGTTTTTATAATTGCTATTCTTTAAGTATAATAATTATTAATATTAATGAGATTTTCTGTTAATTTTCCGGTAAACATTAATACACATATATAACATTTAAACTGAGTTTTATGTGATTTTTCATCAATTCCTAAAAAAACTGTTTTAATTTTTCTAGATATTTATAATTATTTATATAATTAAAATTTATAAATTAATTTATATTTAACAAAATTAATTTAAATGTCAGCATTATTTTTTGTATCAAGAATAGCTGCATTTGTATGTAATGAAATGTCGATTAAATTGGTACAATGAATTCGAATTGTATCAACGAACCTTAATTTAAGCTAATAGATGAATGATCAATAAACGTAACGCAGCAATTATTAGCTATCCGCTCGAATTTATATACATTTATATAACAAGCGTTTCGCGCACAGCGCAGGCCTTACAGCCTGCATGTGACTTTTTTTATTTACTTGTAATTTTCTCTGTTTAATCGCGAACTACTCCTACATTTGTGGATCAATTTTCGTGAAACAGGTACTAAAATGTTTTTAATGTTATTGAGATGAATGTTATATGGTTTTATTTTTGTTCCTTTTTTTATTTCTTTTTTAATTTAACTTCATAAACAGACAGAATTTGGTGCTTATTGATTTTTAAGAAATATTTATATATATTTCTATACATATACTATTTAATTTATCATTAAAAATTTATCATAAAAATACCGGAATTTCTTGTTTTACTGCTTCACTCATTTTTTTATATGTTATATTTTATTAAGGATGTGCCAGTGCCCGAAAACAACAATCACATTGTACAAAATCTTCAGTCTGATCTGAATCATTCTGATAGAGTGACTATACAAAATGAAGTCGAGAAAGTTACATTTTCAAATATGTCCATGAACCTACAATCTATTGGTAAGATGCAATAAATGCATAAAACGTTAATAAAAGTTTACAAAAATTTACAAAAAAGTTGTAAACCTAATTTAAATTTCAATAGAGAATAGAAATTAAATTTAAAAAATATTCTTTACAATAGCAAGAATAAAAGAGAAAAATGCACTGTAAAATAAAGCAAGATTTAAGATAATACCATCAATTTTATTATCTTTCTTATTTGTTTTAAATCAGTCCAAATAATATATTTCTCATTTGTGGTTTTTATGTTATATTTCATTTGGAAAGGTTTTTATATTATTTCATTATTTTAAAAACTGCAATATTAATTTTAATATATATACGTATTTAATATATGTTTATATTTCTTCTTTTTCTTTATTTTTATTTTAAATTATCTCCCTAATTTACTAAACTAATCAACTTAATGTTTAAAAACATCAATATGTGTCATCTTTAAATCTCTAGGAACAATTCCGAGCGAGCTAAGAGCATTCGTAGAGTTTGATGGATTCCTAAATGAAAAACTAAATATTTCTGCAACATTCAGGTAAAGGATTTAAATCTAACTTTTAGTTTATATCCTGCTTGCTTCCTTTTAAAAATGACATTTACATTTAAACATATTAATTCTGTTAAAAATTCATTAAATATGAAAAAGCTAAAATTTATCTTACAGATGGAACCAACCTGAAGTTGCGGATAATATACAAGGATATACAGTGCAATGTTGGTTCATCGAGAATCTAAAAGATATTCAAATCTGTAACGACAAAACTATCTTAACTACAATGGAGTGCACACAGCATAATTTAAAACCTAACACGACGTATTATTTCCACGTACGAGCGCGTACTGAAACTGGTGTTGGTCCTTATACGAATTTAAAGAATGTATCAACGACGCACGAAAATCCGATACCTAAATTATTGATTATATTTCGTAAAAGTATTGCAATGTGGGATGTCGATTTAAAAACTTACATTAATGTCTTTAATACCTTTAATCACGATTTGAATTCAGTATTAGATGTTGTTTATTCTGTAGCAGAGCATAAAATTTATTGGATCCGCGATGTAATGAAATATGAATACATAAATGAACATGAATCCATACACATGAATGGGTAAGTTAATGATTTTTTAAAACTAACAATAAGTTAAATTAAAGTTAGTTGCTTATAAAATTAATTTCCCGATTCAGCGACTTTCGGATCTATATTTTTCTCTCGCATTTATTTCCTTAATTTAATTAAGTTAAAAGTTGCATGAGCAAAGAATTAATTCAGTTAAAGTTATGGTTAAATAGAAGTTAATTTTTGAAAACATTTATATTAAATTAGAATTTTTTTATTAATTTTTTAAAATTTATAATAACAAATAACAAAGAAATTTTGATTTTTATATAGAAATATATTTTTTAATCACAATTGATGACAAATAAACATAGAAATGAATAATACTTTAATTTAAAAATAATACGTTTATAATATATAAAAAAACAATAATTGTATTCACTAATAAAAAAATTTAACTTAGGAGAAAGTTAATAAGTTTAGGTCAAAAATAATTAGTTGAAGTTAAAAGTTAATACATCTTAACTTAACTAAACTAAGTTAAAAGTTATTAAAAAAAGTTAAAATACTTTTTAACTCTTTTTTTAACTTTTAACTAATTAACTATAGTGCTGGTTACCGAACAGTTAATGACCGACAGCTAATGACATGGGATATGAATAACAATAATATTACAAAAATAACTAGCCTTAATATAAATTCACATAATCTCTGCATCGATTGGATAACAAAAATCTATATTGGGTGGAAAATCATGAATCAGTCTATTACGTTATGAAGCTGGACTTAAAACAATGTGGCAAAATGGCATAGTGAATCCTGATAAAATCTTGAGCAAAAAAAAGATTTTTATTTAACTATACAACCGTCTAAAGAGTGTGTTAACTTTTATTTATTGGAAGAAATGAATACTTTTGTCACTTTTAACTAAGAATTTATATTATTTTTTAATTTTGCAGTAATTTACTATGATTTTGTAATAAAGATAAAAAATTATAAAATTATTATAATTAACATAAAATAGTAAGAACTTAAGTATTCAAAAATATTATCTTTTTATCTTTGTGCTTAAAATAATTTTATAATATACACATATAATAATATTAATAATAATAATAATAATTATTATTATTATATATATTTTTTCCAGATATTTTTACTGGATAGAAAAGTTATCAGATATGCAGTTTGTAACAATGATATCGGATCTTGATGGAAAAACTGTGCAATCTAACATAAAAATTGCGAAAAATATGACTTCCTGTCCATATCAAATATCACACTTAAAAACTCATAACATAATACTTGATACCACAGATACAGAGCCGCTAATATACTGGATACAAAACTATACATTAATTGTAGCAGACATTAATTTCAATACATGCAAATGGATTTCATACGAAGATAAAAACTATAGATTGTATGAAAACTCTCAAAATATAAGAGTTGACAAGACATACATTTACGTATATTCATCTTATCTGACAGAATTTACGCCAAATATTATTCTCTATGTTTTTAAAAAAAAGTATACACATCTCAACAATGAAAAAAATGATTTTAAAATAGAACAAATCCAAAAAATCAATAATATCGATAATAAAGGTTTCAATTACTTTCGTTACATTACTCCTTTCAGTAAATCATTACAATCTTACCCTCGGATGGAATGTCTTACGCCTGACAAAAATTATACTTTCATAATAGTAAAAATAACAGCAAACAGTATCGTCTTGAACTTACCAGAACCGATTCCTAAGCGCGGATGCAAAAACTACCTACCATCCAATAAATATACCATCCTTATAAGCTATTGTTTGGACAATAATCTTAACAAGTTCGACAAATTTAATATCCACACATATGAGCGGCGTTATGAAATTCAGAATTTAACACCGTTTACAAAATACAAGCTAAAACTAGCCCTAAGCAATTTTTATTCTGATCAATTATCAATGGATCTGCAATTTGATTCGGAACAAATAGTGAGAACTAACGTGGGCAAGCTAAATGCACCGGAAAATGTAACGGTTCAGGTTCTGACACCTACTATAGCGGCAGTTTCTTGGACGCCACCAACGAAACTGAATTGTGCAATAGTGACTTATAAAGTATATTGGGAATCCATTAGCTCGACGAACAGCACGCAACCGATAAAAGAACCATTTATTAATAAACGTAAGGCAGACAACAAATTTTTCACAATAATTGAGCAGTTGCTGCCAGAACAGAAATACTTGGTATATGTGCGTGTGTATCCAGCCAATTACAGCAATCTTTATAATGACAGTTTAAAAATTGTGCACATGTACTCGGAACCGAACATAACTTTGAGCGGAGTTAGCATTAACAGTATGAATATTTCGTGGATTCCTACCGTCAATCAGACGATCCATTACATATTAGAATACAAAAATGATGTGATGCAAAAGTGGGAAATTGCAGACAACTTTGAAACGAATAATGAAACAGTAATGTACTATATAGAAAACTTGCTACCGGCAACTTTATACAAGTTTCGTTTGACAATGACATATCCCGAGTACGAGAATTTTACATGGCCGCCTGAAGACAAATTTTTTACTTTTCAAACACTTGGTAAACAAATTTGATAATATTTTAGTATAATCTATGTATTTTATAAGTATAAAAATGTTTATGTTTATAAAATTTTAAGAATTAAATATTTTCAATAATAAATTTAAGTTAGAAGTAGAAGTAGAAGTAAATTTTTAAGTAAAAAAAGAAATTAAAAACTATATATTTATGAAAAAGATGACGGTTCCAGTACTCTAGCTATGAAATATTATCTATTATTAGCGATAAGCCTTGTCGCTATCTTTATCGTAATCTGCATTAACTACTTTTACCGTTGTAAGTACATATATGTATTTGATACATATTTATTTTTTAATTACAGATTATGATAAATATATACAAATATAAATACAAAGATTTTCTGAAAAAAATTTAATTTACTTATTAAAAAAGTTACTTAAAATATGCAATGAATTTTATTAAATAAATATATTGTAATTTTATAATAGTGTCTCGGCGCAGAAAAAGTAACAATCAAGTTTTGACTACGACAATGCCCGACGCAGAATTAACGATTTTACATGAGGTACCTATCGGAAACGTTTATCTCAATACGTTATATAGTTCTACGTTACAACATAATCCCAATAAATATATGTTGACCAAAATAAAACGTGAGCAAATCACGCTAACAAAACTTCTTGGTAGAGGTGCATTCGGAATGGTAAGAACTAATTTTCTTAACGTCATATTTTAAACCATAAATGTTTATATATATAAATGAGAAATACCTACACTCCTACACATTTCTTAAGAAATATCACATATAAATCAACTTTTATGAGATTAAGTTACACAAAGCTTTTATATGAAACAATATATCATATATGTATATGCGTTTTATTTCTTTTCGTTAAATTATTTAAAATTAAAGCAAGATTTAATGCTACACGAATTAAAATTTAATGTTGTTTTTAATTAAGATTATATTCATTTTTAATAATTCGCAGGTGTTTCAAGGGATTGTCAAAGATTTAGAAAAATCGGACTCGGAGACATCTGTTGCCATAAAGACGTTAGAAAAATGTGCTTCAAAAGAAGAGAAAAAGAAATTCTTGCAAGAGGCAAGGCTTATGAATCTCTTTAGACATAAACATGTGCTAAGATTACTAGCCGTCTGCTTAGACGAGGATTCTCCATTACTTGTGTTGGAATTAATGGAGAATGATCTGCAAAAATATTTGAGAGAGTATCAAATATTACAATCTTCTGATTTGCACGCTTTGCGTGTACAAGACTTGCTTGCTATGTGCGAAGATGTTGCGCGAGGCTGTTGCTATTTGGAAGAGCTGCGCTTTATACATAGAGATCTTGCGTGCCGAAATTGTTTAGTGTCTGCGAGAGATCGCGAAAATCGTATCGTTAAAATCGGCGATTTCGGACTTGCTAGAGATATTTATAGGGATGACTATTATCGCAAGGTAAACACAATTAATTAAAAACAAATAAAATTTTTTCAATTTAATTTCTATATGTATTGTATATATATTTTTGGCGTTTTTATAAATATTATATATTATTAACAATAAGTCAAATAGAATTTAAGAAAAATAAAAACTACATATATATAGTTATTATATTTATATATATGATCATGGAAAATATTAGCAAACGTTTTCTACTTAAGAAAATTTATTTCAAAAATTTGAATAAAAGATTTAACTTCGCTAAAATTGTTTTAGGAAGGAGAAGGTCTGCTTCCTGTTCGCTGGATGGCACCGGAATCTATAGTAAATGGAATATTTACTTCTCACAGTGACGTTTGGTCATTCGGAGTGCTAATGTGGGAGATTACATCGTTAGGCGAGCAACCTTATTCCTCCAGAACTAATCTCGAAGTGATGGATTACATACGCACTGGAGGCAGATTGCAGATGCCTCTTAACTGTCCATCCTCGTTATACCAGTTGATGCAACGTTGCTGGAGCGTTGTAGCGAATGACAGACCAAACTTTAAACTTTGTCTGAACAATATTATAGATCTGAGAAGCGACATAGAGGATGCAAAATTGCATCCAATGAATCTAGCTGGCACAATTAATTAATTATTCGTACATGTATATATTTTAAGGAGAAAGTAGTGTTTGCATAATTGTTTATTACAATATCGTAACATCATTATACCTGCATTATTTTTTAATGAAAATTATTGAATTATATTTCTCAAAGTTGTATTATTGTATTCTACTGTCAGTTTACTACACTAACAATAATTGCTGTCATAATTAAACTTGATAACAAAACTGAGTTTAATTTATGAGTCGACACAATTACTTTTACTTATTTTTTTCTAAAAGGAAACCTAAGTACTCAAACAATTATTAAACATTTAGATATTTAAAAATATATATTAAATTTAATTCAATTTAAAGAAAAATATATAGATTGGCTTTTTTTTTATTACTTGTTTACTTACTAATTTAAAATTACTTACCTTTAGCTTTATCGAAGCATATCAAACATTCGGTTGTAAAACTATTGGAACAATTATCTTGCGATATATTATCTATCCTATCTTAACATAATATTTCTAGAGCGATTTAATATAATATTACTATTAAAAAAAACAAAAGAAAAAGAAAAGTTGTAATATAAATAAAATATCAACTTATTTTTAACAAACTCATTTATTAAATACTAAAAAGGGTCGAAACAAACAAAATCGAAAAATTGCACATAAATATCGAGAATAGAATAGTAATAGTACGAACTATATCGCGCGCGATCATGTCTTTTGGTTCGCAGAGACTCTGCATTCGAGGCATTATATTTTTTGGGAACGTTCGTTGAGGAATAGAGGACAGAAAGTATTATAGATTCGAACGACTCGGAGTAACAATATAAACTAAATCTGATATAATTCTGAACAAATATAGATTCTATAATTTTGTACTATTTATTTTAAATCATACCCCAGACAAATCTTACGAATGGCGAACTTTTACGCTACTTTTTATCTAGCTTTGCTCCGAGTCGGATATTAAATACTTCTCGTGGAATGGAAACGGATTGGACGAAAGCAACAGGAGACTCCGTATCCATGAAAGAATTGATCTATTTTATAGCATTTCATTTTGAGAAAAAAAGAAAAGGTGACTCTCTTATAATTATAACAAACACGTCGTCAAATACGAAGTAGATCTTTTTTCCACACATCTTTTTTTTCGACCTTTCGCAGCGCCTGCTTAATAAGAGCCGCGAGATTAAATCCTCTCCGCCTCTATCTTTTCCTTTTGTTTTTATCGTTATCATTTTGAACATCATTTAACCGTATTTTTTGTTTTAATTATATTTCCCCAATACTTCTGCACCCTCTTACTCACTCTCTCTCTCTTTCCTTTCGGTCGGTATCGCTCTCTTTCTATTCCCCTTTCTCTCGTTTTTTCCTACAAAATATATTTGTGTGTGTATGTGTACATTTACATATACACACACATACATATACCTTTTAGTAGGTTTGTTGCGAAGAAATTTCATCGCGCGCGCACACGCGCGTTTTTTCTTTTTTCATTTTTTGATACAAAACATAAAAATCATTATCGTCGTCATCATCGTCATAGATCCAGAGAAAAATTAACACTACGTCTTTAGGATCTTAACGAATTCTCCTCCCCTGATAAAACACAGTACGGACAGACAGACAGGCAAACCGACAGACAGACAAGGAGACAGATTAAGACAAGATTACACAGACAACGATGGACTACATTGTCGACAGTCGCGGCTTCTTTTTTCTCTCCTTTTTTCTTCTTTCTCTTTCTCTCTCCTTTTCTTCTTTTCTACTTTCACAAAATTTCGTGCACGCTATCCCTTTTGCATACTTTTTTGTTATGTTTCATTCCTCTCGTCGTTCTATCTCTCTTTCTCTCTTTCCCTTTCTCTCTCTTACATACATACTCGCAAATATGATCATGTGCACACGATGATCGCGCGCATACGTTCGCACACGACTCGCATAAACACATTCGCACACTCACACACCGAAATTTTTTTTTTTTTTTTAATCATTTTTCTCTACGTTTCTTTTCGTCGTCGATGTAGCTCCTTTTCTCCGCTTTGAACACTTTTTTGGGGAGGTGGGTACCAGACTCTGCCATTTTCTCTCTTTCCGCTAACGATTATTATACAAAATAATTAGAAAAATGTACAAAAATTCATAAAAATAGTAATAGTTACATAGTACAAGTTATTTTTGAGTAATTATAATAGTGTATGCGTGTAATTGTGTGTTTTATATGTGTTACCGAGTGTATATGTGTATACATGTGACCGAGAAACGAGCATGAAAGTACGAGCCTACTGATAAATTGTTCCAACGAGACGGGTCGGAACGCGCCGCCGCAAATGACTTTCCCAAAGGATCCTTTTTCCTTGTGGAAAATCGTCCTAACAGGATGTCGCGCGCGCCAATAATTAATAAATATATTAATATATCGTTGCCTACGTACATATACATCGGCATCGGATGTCCCATTATCACTGATCGTTCAACTAATGACAGATACATTTTCTCTTCAATTTTTAAAACTTATTCTGTAAAATTAAAACTAAATTTTCGAATAATATTAATAATATTTATCTAATCCACAATCATTGTTTTATGTACACATAGAATGTGTAAAATATAACACATATTTATTAACGAATCAAATAAAAAGTTTTACACATAACATGATTGTGGGTCCAATAGTTCTTTTATTAATCAAAATAATGGCAACCAAAAAATTTGCAAGTTTCAAAAAAAGCTTTCTTATTAAAAACTCTTGCAATATCGAAATTTGAAATTCGAATTTTCCTTCTTTCTTCCGAACATATCTATCATTAACGAAATATTGCGTGACAATGGTCCATCCTGTGCATGTATTTGACAACAGTATCCTCTTCCGTTCATTTATTATTCGCGTTTCCTTTCTGTCTTTCTCGTTCACTCTCACATTTCTCTCACATTCTGTTTTTTTTTTTCGCAGGTCTATACATTTCTTTATATGTACATACATTTATTTATGTATACGCATATATATCAACGCAAAGATGATTTCTGCCCTGCTGCAACTGCATCATGTCATGTCGTGATCGCTTTAGCCTAAGAAAGAAGAACTAGAAAAATCATATATTAAATATTATTACTACATATAAACTCACGGGATTTGCAATCGTGAAGATTCATAAAAAAATCTCTCGCTACAAATCGAGAAAAGTCGCGCAAATGAATGAATGTTTGATCTCTTCCGCGAAGAATATATAATTCGATAAAATCCTCAAAAAGCATTTATGCGAGCTATACGATCTTCATAATGCAATGACAGCAGGTCATGCTTACCCTACGCGAAACCCGCACGCATCACGGCCCTTCTCGCTTTTATATGCCCGCTATATCTTAACGTTATTAATGCCACGATATATATCCTCCGCGCGATTCGAACGATCAGCTGGAGCGAGCGGCAAACGTTCGCGTATACAGGGAAGAAAGACAGTCTACGTTTTTCTTCCGTATTCATCCGGAAATATTTATCCGTTCCGCGCGTTTTATCATTCATCTGGAACGCGAGAAATTGCTAGATACACGCGCGCGAGCCAGAGAAATCGCTATTTAGCGCTAAATGCGCGGGAACTCTGACCATTCGCCAATTATCGCCGAGCGTGATCGTTAAAAGCCGTTCATACGATCTTTCGTTAAAAAAAAACAAACGAGCGTTCGTTAAATAGCAGCTCGTTCAAAATCGCGATTCGCGATATCCGGAAAAAATTCCGACGGTCAAGTATCGTCGAATCGTCGCGATAAGAAACGTCAAATCTCATCTTCCTGTTATACCGTATATTTCGTACACGGTGAACGCTAAAGTCAATTAATTAGCATCATATCTTCTAGCGCAGTAGAATTTTCATCCTAGATCCTCTTTATCATTATCATTTGACACGTTTAGCGTTTACCGGATACGCGCTGTTGCGAAAGATCTATATCTGTCGTAGCGGCTGCTTTACATTATCGCGCGGAATCGCACACACAATTAGTAATTTTCATTTGACATTCACACGTTGAATGAAACGCGCGCGCACTCGTTCGTTGCATCATGCACGAAACAAACACGTATACAACACGTAGGTACACAGGCATCACACACGTGATTTTCGCATACGCCCGATTACAGATCGTTTCCAATCTTTTTTATTCTTACGTTCGTCTTCGAATATCTTTTCCTCTTTTTCTTTCGTTTCACATATACACACGAATACGCACAGGTACACAAGCACACACATAAAATGTCCCTCTCGCACTTCTCTCGGCTAATATATTTATAACAATATTCTGCGACCAAAAAATAAACTCTATTATGTGTTACACGCTAATTAAGCTACGATTATCAAACGATTACGACTATGTTTTACATTTACGAAGGTTCTGTCGACCCCGAAAGAGATATATGTATATATATATATATATATATATATATATATATATATATATATATATATGTATGTATGTATGTATTGCGTGGGTTGCTTGGTTTGTTGGCCTGGTGCGGTGGCTCTCGTAGGATACTTTGCACGTTTCCCCTCTCTCTATCTTTCGGTTTTTTTTTTCATGAATTTTCTATTTAAATTTCCTATCATTCGTCGGCTTCCTCCGGACGAGACTCGAGCGAGTTTTCGAAGGAAAGCAAGAAAAACGAGGAGTCGCCGTCGAAGCGAAGATACGCGTCGCTTTCGCATTTATGCATTTGTGCTTTTATGCGTCAATGAGCGGCTCTTCAATCTTTCCTTCCGATTAATTGTAGACTATCGCGGTTCTCGCGGGAGATTAATCAATACGAAAAAGTCGAAAATTGTGCACCGCAGTCGATCTAGAACTTGAGGTCTAAATCCCTGCGGAAAGAAAATCGTAAAGAAAAAAATTGTTTTGTGATTTCAAAAGTTATTTCAATATTTCAACGTCGTATATTATCCTATTAATTTTAAGTAAAAATTATTTTCTTACATTCTTTTTTAATCCTGAGTCTTTCGACTCTCTTGATCTATAGAAGATTTTTGCTCTCGATCTAAATTTAGAATTGAAGTTGGCAAAAGTCATTATAATGTCCTCGAGAATCGAAAAATCGCTAAGTGAATCGTTAATTCGAATGATCAATGTAATGCCGTCTTTGATTATATCAGGAATCTGTCCTTTTTCAAAT